TACCCCAGTACCAAGTCCCAGTACTCTACCATGAACACCTCTAGAGATAAGCAGTATAAAAAAGTAAATTTGTACGGCAGGAACCATGTCCCCTTTTCGAATAACGCAAATTCTTCTCTATGAGTATGGAATTAATTTTGTATACACATCTCGGTGCCAAGTTCCAGTCCTCTGCAATAAACACCTCCAGAGATATGCAGCATAGAAAAATCAATTTGCATGGGAGTTGCCACACCACCTTTTCCCAAGAATGATAGAATACAAGATTGCGCCAATGAGAGAGGAATTTTGAGGGTAATTTTTGCGTGACGTCATCTTGGTGCAATTGCGAGAGAGAAATGCCAAAACGCATAGAAAAATATGTAAACAATGCATACAAATTTCTTAATTTTAATATTACATGGCCCAATTTTGCAGGAATCAATATATATACAAAGATTGATTAATTAGGAACACGTAGCAATAATTTTGGATATGTAGCCCTTTGGGTAAGTACGATTTTTAGCACATGAAAAAATGGATGTGTTAAGAGTGTTTGCAATTTCATGTAGACCAAAAGGAAGGTGTACAGCAAAGTGAATTTTTGGACTCGCTATTGTAAAAAGCCTCGCAGAGTGCATATTTACGGACCGTAGCCAACCACCATAAACTCCACAGCTGTTGACTCCACAGCTTTATATAAAAGCAAATTGTTACCTGCAGTGGCAACGGCAGTCTCACTCTGCACAAGTAACTTGTTGACAATTCTTTTGTTTTCCCTGTGCTGAGCTCTTTCCGCACGCTGGGAACCCCCCAGATTTTCTTCGTAAATGATAGGCACCGCACCACGTTTTAAACGACGAAGTTTTGCAAAACCTAAGGCGTTTACGAAAACGATATTAAATGCAATCAATATGAAAATACACAATAGGGCTATTCGCGATCCGGTGCAAATGGCCTAGCATCATTGCATTGCAAATTTGTATTGCAAATTATTTGCAATACACAAACAAAATACACGCATTTGCATTTGTCATGGCTTGGCAAATTTGCAATACCGAAAATCCATAGCATAAAAATGCTATGCATTGCATTCATAAAGAAAACCAAAGCTGATGCACAAAAATTGTTTTGCAAAAGCTTTACCATGACAGTTTAATAAAGGTCGCTCACAATCCATGGCATATTTCTGCAATTGCATAAATTTGTCAGCTCTTATGCACCGAATCGCGAATAGCCCTAATATGTTACCCATTTCGAACTGTGTATTATTTTCAATATCTTCACTAGTAAAGTGCTTCATGCACACATAGCTTGATTTGGTGTTTAATGCATCTCCTCGCCGGCAGCACTTCTTCCACTTTTTCGCCAGGTTCGCGTCCGTAGGAAACGAAAAAAACTTATATCGCATGCTTTTCTTTTGTTTTCACTATTATACTTTGTCACTGCATACTTCATTTTGTTTTTTAATGTCTCAATAACTGTTTAAAACCACACAGAAATATTAACGCACAAATATTAAAATTGTTATTTGTTTTTTTTCGTATGCTCACAATCAACAATTGCACCAAGATGACGTCACGCACACAGCTGATTCTGTCAAAATCACAAAGAGCGTATTACCGGTACCGCGATTGGCGCAATCTCTATTTGTCTCAATCGTGACCTTTTCCAATAACTCTAATTTTTCTCCATGAGTATGGTATTGGTTTCACATACATCCATACATATGTATTTCCATACCAAGCTCGAGTGCTTTACCCCAAACATTTGAAGAGATATGCAATATGAAACTTTCAGTCAGTATGGGAGGTGCTACGCCTCTTTTCCAAAAACGTCCATTTTTCTCCGTGAATATGAACATGATTTCACACAGTGTTGGCAAACTGTTAATCTGATTAACGATTAAAATGTTAATGGCGTTTGACGATTAAAATTAATTAGTCGTAATCAACTGTACGATTAATGATAACATTTTTTTAATCGTTAATCGCTGGCTGCGATTACGTTTAATTAATTTAAAACATTAATCGTTAATCCAATTACAAGCGTAAAAGCACATAATAAAAAAAATATAATTATTGTTATTAGTAATACATAAACTGGGAACTTTTACAAACCTAGTTTGTAAATATCTTAATGAAAATGCACACCAAATTACTCAAATTGACGAGGAAGCCCGACTTAGCCATACCGGATTAACTTTCTTTGTGTGCACAGGGAAATTCCAGCATAACTTAATTAATCACCAAACCTACTTGATCAAATTAAGAGTTAATGATTAAAAATTAATTTTTTAATCGCGGTTACGATTAACTGTTTAGTCGGATTAAAGTTAATCATGATTAACTGTAATCAGATTGAATTTAATCGGATTAACTAACTAATTAAAACATCAATCGAATAATGCCAACATTGATTTCACATACATATCACTATACCAAGTTTCAGTTCTCTCCCACAAATACTTCCAGAGATATGTATGTAATATGAAAATTCCAATTTGTATGGGAGGGGCCTTGAGTTATCGGACTTACTTTCAGTCTAAGACCATCCTTCCGAAATCCGTAGTAAGTGTACTAAATTTCGTTCTGATCGGAAAACCGGTTAAGGAAGTAGCCTATTTTTCAATACAGGTCATAAACAATCCTTGAGCAAAATTTCATTTTCAAACAGGTGGAAATTCTTAAAAAAGTAGCATATTTTCCAGTCTAGGTCATAAGCTATGCAAATCAGTTCAGTCATTTCCACTTATTAATTTAATTAAACTTTCCTAATACGTGATAACTCTTAAAAGAGTAGCCTATTTTCCAACATAGGTCATAAGCTATCTCTGTGCGAAATGTCATGCAAATCTGTTCAGACGTTTCCGCGTATTAATTTAATTAAAACTTTTTTAACAGGTGGTAACTCTTCCAAAAAATTCGCATATTTTCCACTGTAGGTCATAAGCTATCTGCCTATTTTTCAACTTAGCTCATAAGCTATCTGTGTGAAAACTTCCATGCAAATCAGTTCACTCATTTCCGCGTATTAATTAAATTAAACATTTCTTACAGGTGGCAACTCTTAAAAAAAGTAGCCTACTTTCTAACCTAGGTCATAAGCTATCTGTGTGCAAAATTTCATGCAAATCCATATAGTCGTTTCCGCGTGATGATTTTCCAAACATCCAAACATACAAACTTTGACATTTATAATATTTATTATATATCATATTATTATTATTATTATATTATTATTTATTACTCTAAGATAACCAAAATTAAATAACACCGAAAATAATACGTTAAAACTTGGCAAAAATAGTTCGGCTATAATTTTCCATTCCCTTGCGCCATCCCTCCACCTCAATCGTTGTGCGAATCCTCCTGAAAACTAAACAGGTGGTCCCACGGGGTGGTGTCCCCGCTACTGTTTAATTATTACATATCGTCGCTGGAATAATGAAATAGTGTAACATGAAAAGTATAGTTTTGAGAAAAACGAATTGGAAGTTTTTATAAACCATTACAAACCATACAAATACAATTTCGTTTTTCGGGAATAAATTAGTGAGCCAAAGAGATATTTAAGAAAACTAAAGATTTTTATAATAGATTAAAGGATTGTCTATCCAATGGTGCAATTATCGAATAATAGTGTATGTGGCATTTGCACTGTTTCTTTATTCGAGCGACGATATCAAAGTTCTCTCAACCACCATAGGGAGTCTCTTATACTGACGACTGCTCTATAATGGCGTCTGGGTTACCTCTCCGAACTTTCTCGCTTCTTCACTGCAATGAGCCTAACCCTCTTCCCTACAAAATCCTCGGCAACCCTTTTTACCACCTGGAGAAGCAGGTCAGCTGGGTATTCACGTCCATGGCTAACCAATTCCGACGGTGAATAACCCGAAAATCCTTGGAGTTACCTTCGACAGTCCGCTCTCCTTCTCAACGCATACAACCGCAATTGTCAATAGAGCACAAAGCCGCAACAAGGTCCTCAACATGCCTGGTGCAAAGACAAAGAATCGTTGTTGTCAACGTACAAGAAAATTGAGCGGTCGGTTCTAAACTATGCAGCGCTCGTGTGGTCGCCGGAGACTAGTAGGACGCAGTGGACGAAGCTACAGACTTGCCAAGACACGGCACTCCCGACATCGACCGCATGCCTTACGATGTCGCCACAGCATACTACAGTCCATAAACGGCATTCACAGGGAATCAGTGTCGACCTCCACTGACTCGACCTGTGGATGCCGTTATGGGAACACAACCACCTGACGTGGACGAGATAGAGCTTCGTCTGCCTCGCGAGAGTCTGACGACAATAGCCCAACTTCGCTCTGGCTACTGCACCAGCTTAAACTCGTACCTGTGCAGATTAGATGCAGATGTGCCTAAAGAGTGCCCGGCACGCGGAGACACCGCATCACTCGAGATATCTCTTCGCATGCCCACTAAACCCCACTTAACTAACGCCTCTGCCCCTATAGACATACCCTATAGAAGCTGCACGCTTCCTGGTCCTCGTGTTAGTTGAGCTTGATGACTAGCCAATCTGGGCGGGGCTGTTGCAGCCGCTCCGACAGCAACAACAAGGAGTAATTTACGCAAACGATTTATAGGAATTGCTGAGGATTAAAAATGAATCATATATGTACATTAATAATATTTGAGCCACGAATAATTTTTTGTGGAAACTACTCAAAACAGCGTGTGCCGAAATACCATCCATTGAACTGCTACCGCTAATTATGAAGCTGGCCAAAATTTTTGAAGGCTGTCGGCTTGTTATACAATCATTTCAGTTCAGATGAAGCAGCTAGAATCAAACAACAAAATACTTTTTTGGCCTGCCGTAAATTGAGAGGCCTGAGCTGAAGTTTTTATGAAATAAGTGCTGTTTGTGTTCATGGCTATCCGTGTTCAGTATTATGTTTAGTAAAATTTTATAATCAAAGAGTTTTGTTTTATTTGTAATTTTTCTCAATCTATTGCGAAACCTTTTAAAAGGGTGACCGTTTTAATATATTTATGTTGAGTAAATTCTCGTTTATCAGTAGTTTTTCTGTTTAAATTTTAGTTCATGCTATGGATACCACACCAATCGTTAAAACCATTCAGTCAAATGGTAATTTCATTTTATTAATTTAAATAAGGGTACAAATTTTCTTTAGTTCTAAAGTGCTTTTTTAGCATTATGTGTGCATGCTGTGATTTCCAAGGCTTGATCATTTAGTTTATATTATTTACAATTTTATTTAAAATATGTTTTCCGCTCATTTAAGGCGCTAGTTTTTGTAAGTTACACAACTAAAATTATATATAATTTGTATAGGTGCGAATGTATTTTATTACTTTGCTTTATTAAATTTGCTTTATTAGAGGGTGGAAAAAGTTTGAAGCTGTGGAGGTATGGAAATTATACATAACCAAAATTAAGAAGCAATGAATTTTGATCCTAAGACCTGCTGAATATTCGTGTGAAATTTATTTGATGTACTTTCATTTTCTTTTGAAGGCATTAAGGAGATGGTTTTTATACGTGTATTATTCAAACTAATAGTTTCAATACTAATGTTATTTTTTAAGGTAAATGACGCATAATACAATGCCACTGACATGACTGAATGATTTACTATAAGTTTGAAAGGACGTTTTCTCGACTTCCAGTTAATGTAGACAAAGGCGTAGTCAAATTTGTTTATGTGAGATTTTATTTGTATGTTCGATATTTTTTAATGCTAGTGAATGGATGCAAGAGTTTTACAAGAATAAAAGTTACATATTTGCTTAATAAAAATAAACAAAAAGTGTCACTCGAATTTCTCGAAGAACTCTTCACAAATATCGAAAGATTCTCCCTGCTATATACGGTCGCTGCGGTGTAGTCGTTAGCAGTGCGCGTTACTATTCCGCAAGGCCTGGGTTCAAGCACGGTCGCCCCTCGACAGGCAATGGCAAAGCTCCGAGTGTATCTTTGCCATGAAAAACAGCTTCTCATAAAAATACAATCGCCGTTCGGAGTCGGCGTAAAACTGTAGGTCCCTCCCTTTGTGTGAAAACATCAAGGCGCACGCCATAAATCGGAGGAAAAGCTCGGCCAAACATTAACATGTGTGTAAGCGCCAATCAAATGGTTGGTTCAAATAGGCGCATGAATGTATACAACAGTCTTCCCCACAATGAATTATATTATTACCTGGTCTGCTGGTCATCAAAATTCATCGTATTAAAACTTAGTGCAGAAAATGTAAAGTGATTGGCAACCTTAACTGCTTTTTATTTCCAAAAAAACGGATGGTGATAACAAAGCTAACGAATACTTACAATTTCACAGGTGGTCGAGAAAATTGCTTCAAACATGGCAATGGTCATTTTAACTACATATATACATATACGAGTACAAAACTGAAGCAAACAATTTATAACTTTTATAAATCTAATATCTTACTAGAATTTTAAGTGCCTACCATAAATTCAAAACAGTATGCTAACGTAGGTTGCTTATTAAGTAGTTTGATTTTGTAGGAAATTCTTTTTTCTCTTACTAATAATGTTATATATCGTCGTTATCAATTCAAAAGTGTCTGTTTAAATTTTTTTGGAAGAACCTTTTTTAATGTTAAAAAAAACTCATAGCCATATACATACATATAAGGGGAGCTCACGATTTGCTACGTAGCAACTTTACACCTCAAATTCTACAAGTCGCGAACTCGCCTATAGAAAACAATGAAATTTATTATCATCTCTAGAACAGCACCTGCAGCGTTAATTTTAAAGAGTTTGCTTTTCCTATAACATTTCAGATTTGTCAGTTAGAGGCTTCTGCTTTGATGACGATGGTATATTAAACAATATATTTTAATTTTGTTAGTTACTACATAATGCTAATTTTCAGCATGCTGACATGCTAATTGTCATGACCATTTAGAAATTACAATAATTTACATGCTTGTACTGTAATCATAAAAATTTTTGCAACTTTACTAGTTTGATATTTTTTCGTTGTCTATTTAAACGGACTTTATATTCAGAAAATATAAGATTTTGTGAGGATAAAAATACATTATTTTTAACCCATATTTGTGTATATATGAACCAACACTCATACATATGAAATATTATTTAGAAAAGTTCGGTCTTTGACAAGTTAAAAATTCCATATTAACTACAAAATACATATATATTCTTATATACTTTATACATATCTAACATTTCTGGGGTTTCAGTACTACTTTTTGAATGTACCTAACTAAAAATCTTACTCTAACTTTCAATTTATAAATATGTTGCTAAATCACTTAGTATTTTGTGTTGTGATTTTGTTTAAAGTAATAAACGTATGGATATACTTATGTATGTATTTTTCATAATACATTAATTAATACTCACAACTTACAGTGACAACACCCCTCTTTGGCAACAGTCGCAGTTACGTAGACCCACATACGTACGAAGATCCTAATCAAGCTATTCGTGAATTTGCTCGAGAAATTGACGCGAATTATATAACAATTGAAGCTATAATTGGTAGTGTGCCACAAAAACTAAAAATCGTGAGCAATTAATATGCATTTTTCTTAGGTGGAGGCGAGTTCGGAGACGTATGTCGTGGTCGTTTAAAAATACCTCCTAACTTCGTTCAAGACATAGATGTTGCCATAAAAACGCTTAAACCAGGTAGTGCAACATATCGTTTTAATTGATCATCTTAGTAAATTCATTATTATTTTAGGGTCGTCTGAAAAGGCTCGATGTGACTTTTTGACAGAAGCATCAATTATGGGGCAATTTGACCACCCAAACGTTATATACCTTCAGGGAGTTGTGACGCGCTCCAATCCTGTAATGATTATTACTGAATACATGGAAAATGGGAGCCTGGATACGTTTTTGCGAGTCAATGATGGCAAATTTCAGACGTTGCAGCTTATCGTAATGCTACGTGGCATTGCTAGCGGTATGTCTTACCTTAGTGACATGAATTACGTCCATCGCGATTTGGCAGCTCGAAATGTACTTGTTAATGCTCAACTTATATGTAAAATAGCAGATTTTGGACTATCACGTGAAATAGAGAATGCCAGTGACGCATACACAACGCGGGTACGTTATAAAATAAGATTAAAAACTACCTTGTTAAACAAGCAATCTATTAGGGTGGGAAGATACCAGTTCGTTGGACAGCGCCTGAAGCTATTGCTTTTCGTAAATTTACATCAGCGTCAGATGTATGGTCATATGGTGTTGTTTTGTGGGAAGTTATGTCGTACGGTGAGCGACCGTACTGGAACTGGTCAAATCAGGTAGTTTTGACTTTTTAGAATTTTATTTATTTATTTATATATATTATTTGATGAGTTTAATTTCAGGATGTTATAAAAAGTATAGAGAAGGGCTATCGACTTCCGGCACCCATGGATTGCCCTGAAGCATTATACCAGTTAATGCTTGATTGTTGGCAAAAACAACGCACCCATCGACCAACATTTTCAAGTATAGTATCAACATTAGACAATTTAGCTCGACAACCTCAAGCGCTGCTGACAACAAGAAATTCCCCAGAAAATGATGGAACACATATCTTAGAAAGTCAACGTGGTCACAACATATTTATAAGTACAGACTTGTGGCTGGAGAACATTAAAATGTCCCGATATTCACAGCATTTTAAAGAGGCTAATTTGGTGACTGCCCAACAGGTAATTATATTATATTGCTTTTTAGGTTTTGTTTAAGCATACATAACATAATATAAACATTTATCTCCGCTATCGTGAACTACAAATACAATACAAATCTCCTAAAATGACGATTTATGAAATGTAAACGTGAATTTGAAATATTAAGTGGCTGGTTTGCTGTCAAAAGCATCGAAACTTTAAAAAAGTGCTCGCAATTTTATTTCATTACTAGTGCTTATTTGTTTTTCTTGTTCGTTCCATATGGATGATTTTTACTTTATCTTTTAATAGCAGAGTGGTTATTGGTGCGTACTACCACTCGATGGGACCCGGGTTCGATCTTTGGTCTGAGCAAATGTGTAGAAAACGTTTTTCTAACAGCGGTTGGCCCTCGGCAGGCAATGGCAAACTTTTAAGTGTAATTATGCATTCGCATAAGGAAGAAAATCTAATTTGAGAAAGTAATAAGAAATCCTTTTGCCTCAACCGTGTTTTTGAGCTTTATACCACTATTTGTTATTAGGATAATGAAAAAAGCAATAAAGTCTCAGCGGACGAAGATATATCACCACATCTCCTCATCAGACTTCATATTTAGACTTCAATAACACTGTTGAGGTAAATATTACTACTCTATAACATAAAAAAAATATGTAATTTACGATGAGGCTGCCTAAAGGTACACAAGAATTCTGGTTAATGAATATAATGTAAAACAAGATAGGCTGTACCAGAATTCTAACTAACGTATATAGGTTAAAACAACAACTACACTGCCTCTTCGACCTTGTTGCTTTTTCCGGTGACAGGTAACAAGATCAACGGAAATAAGGTCAATTGACTTTATTTCCCACCCTGGTGCGAAGTAAAGTCAATTGACATTATTACCTTTTTAAAAACGAAATAAAATCCATTGACATTATTTCTCTTTCAAACATTAAATTTGCTAAGCTTCGCGGCGGCCCCGTCAGCGCGCCACACCGCGCGCGCCGCGCTCGCGCCCCGCGTACCCCGACCGACCGGCGCGCACACCACATCACGCTACGCCGCGGCCCCCCGGCCCCCTTCCCCCACTCCCGCCGTGCTGTAACGCAGGTAGATTTATTTTTTGTATACGTTCAAATAAAATTTGTATATATTTTAAACATCGAGGGCTTATATTCTATAATACCCTCTATCTGATATTAAATAATCAATAATTGTTTATATCCGCATTTTGGTACATTGGCTCGTTGAATGTGCCATCTAATAAATAGTGTCGTCATTCTCCTTAGCTGCTTTTAAATGATGTCGTCACAAATTGCTGGCGGAGACATTGTTTCCTTATAGAAAGGTGGGTTTCTTTTCCACCTTAGACATTCCGAATTCGTTCAAAATATGCTAATTTAAAACACAGAATTCTTTCAGTGTTCCTCCGGGGTTTTTGGACATGGACTGTTTCCTCAATTTAATAGTGTTCGCTTTATTTTTGTGGAAACGAAACAAGTTTTGCAAGATATGGATCATTTTTACACTCTTTCTTAAAATATTTCTCGTATTCCAGCTGTGCGTTTTTACATATTCGTAATTTAAATTTTTTTAATAAAATCAATTGGTGGGAGTTCATGATTGTGTGTGGATTAATATCACAACACTGAGGATTTGGCTATAACCTTTTTCATCTATTAAAAAACAACACTTACGGGGCAATGTTTATTGTAAGAACAACATTTTTTTCTATGAATCGACATACTTTAAGCATTGTTGGCGCTATTTCCATTTGAATGAGGAAATAGCGTCAATGACTTTATTTCCAAATTTTTGTTGACTTTATTTCGCTTTTGAAAAGGTAATAGTGTCAATTGACTTTATTTCGCACCAGGGTGGGAAATAAAGTCAATTGACCTTATTTCCATTGACCTTATTACCTGTCACCGCTTTTTCCATTTCGACTTTGTTGCTTTTTCCATTAACACTGTTGAAATTGTAACGCCACAATAACACAAAATAATGAAATAACTTAGGAGGAACCAGAATTCAAATTAGCACATAGAATTAAAAGCAACTACATTATCAAACTAAAATAGTAACGAATCGGCTGCACTTTATTTGGTTAAGTTGTATAAGGAGATGGATTTGAAACAAGAGTTAACGGCCTATACACGTTGGCGATAACCTGTATTGCACTCGATGGAACGATGACCTGTATAAGCTTTAAATTTTAAGTTTAAAATGAAATGAGTGCAGCGAAAGACCAATTAGAGAAGGACCTGGCTTCACGTGTCATTTCTAAGTAGCGTCAGTTCGCACATTATTACGCCATAATAATACAAATAAAATTGAAATTTGTTCACCATTTGTAAATCTAAAAAGTCTTTAGTAGTAAATAAATTCTTGTTAAAAGTAAAAACCCCCTATGGTATTAAAAAAAGAAGTAAGCAAGAAATAATGTAATGAATCGGGACGTTTTCGTATGCGATTTAAAACTTTCAAAATCGAGATTACAAGATCTTCATAACTGTATAAAAAAGTAGTAAAAATGAATGGCGGAAACGAAAATTCATAGCTGAGATTGCCGTTGGGGAAAAAGTGCATCTCTGAGAAACCGCAGCTCTGAGAAACTACAAACCAGACAATAGAAACACAACTAAGGAAAATTCATCAACAAAATTCTCAAAGCAGTGTTATAAAAATTGTATTTTTCCAGGAGTATTTTTTTTAACTATAACAAAGAAATTACTATTAATATAAAGAAATTAGTAAGTAATAATTACTGAAATTATCGTTTTTTTATAGATCTCCCGGTTAACGGCTCAACAACTATCTGATATGGGTATAACCTTAGTAGGGCATCAAAAAAAAATTCTACATCAGGCCAGGCAGTTGGATACTATAATTTAAGATTATTAATATTGTATTTGTAGACTCGAATCAGTGTAAATATGGCATTATTATGAAAAATATCGTTTAAAATAATAAGTTCACTTATTGTAAGTATTATAATGTTAGAAGAATTCTCGTACTATGGGTTTTTTCAACCACTTTCTAAGAAACAAATTAATTTATTTCTCGCACATAGTCCTCAAAAATCGATTCACACCGCAAATATTGATTAAAATTTCTTATATATCTTAAACAAGTTATTATTAAAAATAAACACATTTGCGAGGAGTCAAAAGACTTGCAACTACCATTATTCCCATCGGGTTTAATTAAAAAATAAAAATAAAATTATATATTTTTATACTTTTTATCTATGCAAATATCTTATGTTTGATCGTTGTTTAATGAAATTAGGGCGAAAAATATCAGTAACCTCTCTCTTTGGATTCCACGTCATCTTCTAATATTCAGATAACAGCAAGCCACAGTAATCTGTGAACAAACTGATAATAATGGCCCTATTTGGTATGGCGACTGGCAGCTGGTTGCCGGTGTAATAGCCATGGCTACCAGTATCGTACTTTGTATTATGGGCAACTATTTTAATTTCAGTATACAGAAAAGCTCACACAGCCTGTGTTACCGCTGAAAAATTTCAAAAGATCGCAGGAAAAAGGGTCACGACGCAAAAAAAAGGGCTACCTTTAGATTTTTTAAACTACTACATAGATATACAATATTTGGGCGTTATTTTTTCTTTTAAAGGCAAATCACATGCCTTAAAAAATCAATTTTCCACGCAAAATCGATTAGAAAACTTTAAAGCATATAATAAATGTAAAGTTAATTCAGTCACAGTACAATAAAAAGAAAATTCTTTCATTAAAACTAAAGTAAATAGCTATTTTTAATTAGTATATTTAACACGAACAAAAGATTTGCATTTTTTCTGCCTCATATATCGCCTTAATATTTTGTATATGCTTTTTAGTTTTCTATTGGCCTTTGAAGTGGTTTTTGTATTTACAAGCAGCTGGGTACACACTACGCAAATCGGCCGCTTTGTTTCTTCGTGCATCTTGATCCACTTAAATGCAGACTGTCAATCCTCTTCAAATTTTCGATGCTTTTTTTCGCCTTATTCGAAGATGTGCACGGTTCCAAATCTAATTCACAGACTAAATCTGCACCGCCGCCTGAATCAGTGTCCTTGGCCCCGTCCAAAGAAGATCCTATATTCTCCGTGCGTTTTCTTTTTGTAACGTACGTGCAAAACAATTATTAAGGCAAAAATCAAATTTATTACTATTATTAAATTTAATATTTAATAATATATTATCCGTGGAATATGCAGTTCAAACTGTTAGAAAACGCAAAAATCATAAAATATTCCCTACACTAAATTTGGAGCGTCGCATGCCTATGCCAAAAACATCAAATATAAAATGATTGCAAGCAGTTAAGATGTTGTCAGCGATAAAATTTTAAGAAGTTAAGGGTTACCGATGTAAAAAGAAACCAAGGATGATGAAACTTTCAAACTCTTTAAGGAAATGCTTAAAAATATTGAATTTAAGTGTTGAAAGTTAAAAGGGACCAAAAGTCGGAGAAGGTCAAATTTTGAACGTTTTAAAAAAATTGGTGCCTGGGGGAATGCCTCCCGAAAATGGCCAAATTGCGTCTTTATTCGCCCCAACGGTAACACTGCAGACAGCATCCGAGTTTACTTTTTTGACATGTAATTGGCAATTTTGCTCCAATGCGTTTGACATTTTATGCAAGCAAATAACAAAATCGTCATGGCAGAAAATTGCGCTACCAAACTCATGCCCTTATTATGAGTTGCATTCAATAGCCAGCGAAGATCGAAAGTAAAATTCGTATTATGAGCTATGCAGGCGTGTCGAAATTTTCGTTGAGTATCGTTTTCTGTCGAACAGAATTTTGCTTTCGATGGTACACCGAAGTTTAAGAAAATTGTGAAAAATTTATGATTTTGCATTTGTGTTCTTACTTTTTGGCGGCTAGACACTAATTTTAAATACTTTATTAATTTCATGCAGTTCTTACATCGTGAATACTAAACACAAGCTCCAAAGGCTGGTTTTACTTGTGAAAGAAAATCCCAATACTCAGTTGGCACGATCTCTGAGAACAAAATCGTAGAGCTGTCGATAGTTTTAAAATATTTTAAATAGATTTGGCTCACAAACGCCCCTTAGACAGTCGGAACTTTTTAATAAATCTGTAGACAAATTTCTTCAATATATTTTATGTCAAAATATATTCGAAATACTACACTTAAACTCTCTTAAACATTCACTACTCCTGGCCAGTTTACTAAGCTCTTTCATCCGTTGTACTAATTTTTTCACGATTTTATAAACTCTTTCTTTTTTATTTCGTTTTAATTTTTACAAATTTACATAAATATGTATAAGCAGACTTTTTAGTTTGCTCGATTTGTAAACAAAGCTTCTCAGCGGCGAAAAGTATACTACCTAACAACCTAAACGAGCGAAATTCACAATAGCGCTATTCTTCGCGAATGAGCGTCATAATACCAAATGAAACTTCGTTTGATCAGCACTTTCGACCACAGTCGAAGATCGAATGCAACTCATAATAGGGGAAAAGCTTCTCTGCGGTGAAAAATATACTATTGGGAACAACATAAACGAGCGAAATTCCACAATCGCGCTATTCTTCATCGAATTCGTTCGATCAGCACTTTCGACCACAGCCGAAGATCGAATGCAACTCAGACCATGGGCCTCAGTAGTCAGTTGCCATACGTAATGCGAATTTTAGTAGATGATGCAAAAACGTTGGACCTTTGGAACATTCCCTTAAGTGCCGTTTTTTACGTATGACTAAAATTTTATCAGTCTTTTCACTGTTTAAATTTATTAAATACAATAGATAAATATTTGAAATATATTGCTTTTGTTTGCTACACAACCGAAAGCTGTTTGCAATCTATGTCCGTTTAAAATCTCCAAATATAAAATGAGTTTCATTTAATATAATTTCTATTGTTCAGTAACACAATTGGATCTGGGCCATTATTGTGAGATATGCAAAGTACCATTAAAAATATAATATACAGTACCTGCTCACCGAATTGCGGCCAATTGCGTTTTTTTTTTTTAAATAATTTAGTTTTCATTGCGAATTATGGTTATTAAAATAAAGAAAAAAAACCACCGGTATTTGAGAGTAAGCTTGCATTAAATTAAAAAAAGGATGTTCGAGGGTTATGCACAAACCGATGTAGTGGAGGTTATGCGTAAGTTGGTGAAAATTTAAAAATTTTCTAACACCAAAATTGTGACTTTTATTTTATAAATTTTATTACAATAAAGTGCAAGTTTGAGGTAGGTAGGATTTACCGTTAATTTTTGGATTTCTTTTTTTTTTGACGGTGTTACGCATTTTTTTTCACACAAATTATGTTCGATAATATTTTTAAAAGAGAAGCAAATGAGCAGCACACATCGCACTTGCACTTTATTATATTAAATTTTAATGAGCTACAAAACTTCAAACCAAATTTTTTCTAAAGATTCTGATTAAAAAGTTTGAAAGTTTGCTGAAACTTTGCAGAATTAATTTTTTATAGTTTTTTGCACAAAGTCGGTAATTTGGATTTATATGGGTTTTGTTAGGAAAAGAGCCTTGCATAAAAAATAAGAACATAAAATAAACAAAATAAAAATAGCCATACGTTGCTAAAATGTCTAGTCCTAATTTATATTTTGGTCAGTGTATGTATCTCTCTATTCGAATCACAGGCATTCAGGTTAGAAACTAATAACTGTTTATGGAGAAAATTACGATCATATACACCGAGGAAAAAAATAATTAATTCAAATAGAAACGTAATTAATCTTACTATAAACGTCAACGAAAGTGCTGTATATTGGTAAATATTCAATTCAATTGCGCGCAAATTAAAATGAAAAAGCATCCGTGAAGTGAATAAATAAGATAAAAACCAAAAAAAAATTTAATTTGCATGTTGCCGGTAGTGGAACTCCAACCCTTACCCTCTCTGGACATCAACGCAAATTGTGGCAAACATCTTTGCGCACTCAGCTACAGCCAGACATATAAATTTGCTTTCAACTGTTGAATTACCATCAACACCACAGAACGCGTTTTGTACGGATAAACATGTATTTTGTATGTATGTATGTGTTGTCACCGCTCTGCATGCTGGGGATGCGTATGTACATTTACATATACATACTCAGATGTGAATTGTCAAATACGTGCGTAATAAATTTTTATATGAAGATATTATTTTTAAATACTAACATTTTTAAATGATTAAAACTGGTTCGTAGACATGCCATTTTAATGGGCTGTTAAGGCATCGAAATGCTGAACACTGAATACGGGACAAATACAGGACATGAAAAGGAATACAAAACATTTGTCGTCCCGTATAAAATAAAGAAATTACCAGGGATGCTTTCCATTTCCAGACAACCGGTCAGGTACGAGCATGATTTTTAATTTCGACCAAACTCAAATACATTGTTTGTTGGTCCAAATAATGAGACCAGCGTTGCCGCTTTGGTAATTTTTAACCAAAAATGGTAATTATTTTCTTTACTTATCAAATTTGGTAATTTATTTTTCAATTTGGTAACTTTTTCGATTCGGTCCTACTTGTCACATAGATCAATACAGGAACTGATTCCACATTAGGATGTGTCCCGTAAGCGTTTCTTTTTATACAAATAACCAGTAATCCTGAAAGTTTCGCAAGGCGAAAAGTTGGTCCAGCGTTCCTTGGTTCTTGAATGGTGTGATCTCTAACAAACCACGTGAAAGTTGCTATTGCTATATCTACTGAGTCCTATCCTGGAAGGTTGTGGCAGGTCCTACCTTTCCTTGTCAGTTCAGCAGCTTTGCATTTGCCATCAATATTCCCGTGTACTCCGACAACCATATGAGTAAAGTTCTATGTAAATATGTACAAATCGTTGACGTTTTTTCAAAACCGTCCATCGACCAGTTGCAAAACCACCTAATACGCCGTTTTGCAAAAATGACATTTGGTAACCCTGAACTCCAGGCATCGAGATTTATGCATACAAATTTATAAATCGTTATTAAAACAACAGATTTGTAAAATAATAGCTAGAGAAAATATCGCCTATCAAGGCAATGCCTTCAAAGAAAAACCGCTTTTTCGCTCTCTTGCAAAATTTGGGTGCCATAAGATAGGCGGTTTCGCAATTGGTCGATTGGCGGTTTTGTAAAAACATTGACGATATGTTTTCGCTCAACAAGCTTTTGTAA